AGAAGTGTTTGATTATTTCAATCTTTCTCACGGCATAGTTTGTTTTGGAGGAAAATAGTCAATCTCCGCTGAATGAATCAAAGGACTCCCAAATCAAGAGTGTTTCACCCAATAAATAAAACAATAATACAGTAAAGCCCTCAGTCAGAGATAAAGGCCTTGAACTGCCATTTTACCGAAAACTGGAAGCTTTCTCACTGCTGCTCTGAATGCATCGATGCATTCCCGAAGTAACCAAGGAACACTGATACTGTGACATGGCGTCTTGTGGCATCTTCTGTCAGAGACCCCTAACCTGGAGATGACCTGCTCTGCACCAGGGAATTCCAAGATGGACGTGTCAAGACAAATAGCTTCCCATAATCTATTTTCACCAAATCCCCAAGTAAAGATGTTGCTTTCCCAGTAGATATTCTACCGCCAAGGGCTTTGCGATCGGTCTTTCACTGGATGATGCTATTTGGGTCAAAGATGGATGCCCTCTGTTTCTTTGACAGTTATTGCCTCAACCCGCAGTTCTTCTCACAACACAGAAGGAAATACTGGTCTTTATTTTAACTTCCTTATCACCTTCAGTTTCATCTTAGAATTTTTCATCTAATACAAGCCACTTTGCATGTCAGTGAGAGCTCAGTTAGAGCTTATATCTATTAACTGTAATTTGCCCATATCCTGATTCATGCTCTGATAAATGTCTTATCAGTTTGATGCACTCTTGTGCAATGTGTCTTTGAAGCCTGACGAGTGTGTGAAAATATTTTTCTTATTGATTTTGCCTTTTATACTGTTTCCATGTTTACGATGCTACCTACGAAATTTGTGATGGCTTTTTTCAGGTCTGTTGCTGTGGTTACAACCTGCCATTGGAGGTCAAGGATACTCCTGAATTAAACTACGAGTTGTGTTCATTGACGAGCGCACCTTCGCTTATATACCCTTTCTTTTTGCTACATGTCACCTGATGTCATTTCTTTTGAAGTACATACTGTGACCTTGTGCTGGATAAGCAATTTGATGGTTGGATGGATGGATGAAAAAAAACGAGTAGGGTAAGTATATCCAGTAAAGTAAGAAAACATAATTAAAAATAACAAGTAAAAGGGTAGAGGTGTGATAAATAACTACAATTACAACCTCAAGGTCAGTTTGACCCTTTATAGTAGCTGGGGAGCTGTTGGTATTTTGCAATTGCTCCAGAAGCAAAGTGTGGTCCTACTAGTCAGGACTCTGGGTCTGCAATTGAAAGGTTGCTGGTTCAAAGAGTAATTTCCCATTCTGGGCCTTGAGCACGACCTCTAACCTCCAGGGATTGGCTCAACCGTCCAGCTATATGTTACCTTGCACAACAGTGTGTGCTAAATAAATAAAATGTAAATAACTATATATCTTTATGAGTCAAATGAAATTTTCATTTAGTATGAAGTAGACAACCTGTGTCTGGTATCTCACTGTCCTCTAGAGGGCAGCAGCTGTTACTTTGCAATTAAGATCAGGTTTAGAATGACGCTGTGGACTGATGTCAGGCAGCCTTCACCTGTCGTGCATGCTGCTCTAATATTTTCACAGAATCACCTCCAGCTAGTCGGATACTCTCTGTTTGTTTACAATCAACGTGAGATAACGATAATGGGTGTGGCTGGGACTTCTGCCTATGACATTCTGAGTCATTTAGAAAAATACACAGCAGAATACAGTACTAGTGATTTTCACCTTCTGTTTTGTGTGACCCATAGTAGAATTTCACCCATCGTAGAAATTTTCCATTGTAGATAAAGCCACCCAAGACCTACATTGTTCGGGATGATATTCCTTAATATACTCCATTAGAATGTCATCTTTTCTTTGGTAGTATATGTCCAGGAAAGCTTTGGGCTGAGTGCTGATGATTGAGTCACCAAATTTCATAAAACAAAGCACTTAATGGGTAACCCCAACAGTCCTACGAATCATCACAAAGTCACCCTCGTTGTTTACTGTGTGGCCACAGATGCATAGCCCCATTAGTCTTCTCTGTGAGCGTCAATTGAGTGTCATTGTTCAGTCAATGGCGCTGCAAGCACTTGGGTTTTCTGTAGCGTTAATGATTTGCGATACTTTTGAGTGAATTAACAGAATTTATGCCACACATATGGACTAAGTATTATTAACAAGTACAGCAGGACAGCTGTTAAGCTGATAAAAAGGAAATTGCTAGCAGATTACAGTTCTGGAACAAATTTGGCTGGAAGGTAGCATCGTAGATGCAGAGGGGAGGCCATCACAGCTCCTGCAAACAAGGATTGCTAGTGACAGCAAACGGCTCTTTAGGGCGTAAACAAAAAACAAAAAATTGAATTCAGTGGTTCTGTAGCACAGAGGCTGGCCCGCCAGAGTCATTGATATGTGATGTGTGATTCATGGATGCAGGTGGTAATAATTCAATCTCACTGTTATCCCACTGAGCGCAGGGCAATTAGAGGACCCTCTGGAGAATTGCCCAAATAACTCCTATTAAATCACTCCACTGCACCACAGATGCATGCTAGGAAACAAGACTGCCCTTTTGAAACGCTGAGCTGCTTCTCTAGCACATATGAAAGCCAGGAGCCCAGGCGAGCTACAGTCTACCACAGCAACTGTCCACCAATCAGAGACGACCGGGAGTTGAAGTCCACTAGACGGGAAACACAGGTGTTTAGAGGCAAATTATAGGCTGCGTCTAATTAAGCGTTTGGGTTTCACTTCAACGTACTTGCACACAGACGGACGGACACGCGTGCGTGCGCACACGCGCTTCGCCAGGTTCCCCGACAGAGCACACGAGGGCCTCATCTGTATCTATCTGCAATTAAAATGTAAATTTGGTCATTACCCAGGGGCAGACGGGGACAGATTAAATTTGGCTACTGAAAGGAGAGCGGAGTCAAGTGGCATTAAAGTGGCTGGCGCATCCATTTCAGAAGGCCCTTCATCCGCTGGCGGCGATGGACCCCAGACTCCCATCCGTAACCCCCGGTCCCACGCTTGACATTTCCATCGTCTGTGATACACAAGTCACAGTTTAAATAAAAGGAGCCCTTCAAAAACCCAGATGAAATTCAAGGTCTACAGCAGTAATGATAATCAGGATATCAATCAATAAACAATCTCTTTCAAATAAATTCAATTCTAGCAAGTAGATGTGTATCTTGAGTCCAGAATATATTCCACATAGGCCATTTTGTTCATTGTGGTGGCTATGACTTCTCAAGGACTTTTACTAAAAATAATTTTTGTACTGTCATTGCCTGTGAGTGTCTCTTGGGCAGGTGCACTGCTAGAGAATTTTGGCCCCATGAAAACATAGTATATCGGGCCCCCAACCTAGACCAATCCAATTTTGCTCCAAATTTTTAGGGCCCCTGAGTGACAGGGGCCCTTGGAATTGTCCAGACTTTCCGACCTTTTATGGCCTCCTTGGTGTTGGGGAGGTTTTGAGAAAGACAGCCTAGTAACCAGGTTTATCTGTATTGATTTTTTTTCTGACAGTTCTCAGTAATTTCTACATTTCCATTTTTCGTTTTCCAATTTGCTTTACACCCAGTAACTCAGAACCCACAAATTATGCCAGCCTTGAGACCTACAATCCTTTAAATGTTATCCCCCAGGCCACATGTCCAAAGAAGGTCTTGCATACTGTATGTTGTAATTCTACTGGCGATTGCAGCAGAATACTTCCTTATTAAACATAAAGCTTCTTTAAAATGCATCAGGCGTCAATGCAAGTGGGCAACAAGGATGGAATAAATTGTTGTAATGCTAAATATGCTTGAGAAATGAACACCCTTCTTAAACAAATGCCCTCTCTCCATCCAAAACAAAAATAAACGCACTAGGCTTCAAACATTTGCATATAGCTGTAACTAAACGTATTGCATGAGAATTCAGTTTAAAAGCATCCAGTAGAGTGAAGCTCTTCTGATCTGGAGGTCTGCGACTTGCACTTGTGTTTGTGCTTTTCGCTTTCATGGTTTATGCGGATTGCGGCGCACTGAGATCTGTCTGTCAAGTATGAGTGGACGAGGACAGTGAGAAAGCCTACAAACTCACAGCGAGATACTGACTGTGGCTGCCTGCTTATTCACATTATGTGCTATATATAGGTGCTTATTTCGGTGATCTGCAGGTTCGTATTTTTTGAGCGAGCAAGATACGAATGCTTCAGGATATCTACAAGCAGACTGGAGCCACGAATGATTTGTTTAGCTCATATGTTTCAACAATCGTGCTGTCGGTTTGAGAACCCTGGGACAGATTTGGTTGCTGGGCTAAGCCCCGGATTTCTTAAGATCCTAGCAACACCAAAGTCTACTAGTCATACATTGATCCAACTGCTCATCCAGTAGTACTGGTAATAAGATTTGCAATTTAAATGGCAACCTAGATTTTGCCTTCAGCTTTGAATGTATTTGATTAAATGAATGCATCTGGAGTCATGTAGAAATTGTATCAACAGCTCCAGGACAAACAAGGGGGCACAGGTGTCTCTCAGACAGCTGCCCTAACAAGCCCAAAATCATTGACAGACACTGGAACCAGAGGTACCACTATTCTCCCTATGAGAGGAGACAGGCAGCATCCGCACTGCCTGAGGAAGTCTGCCCTGCGGCCCAGTGACCAGTGCGACCAGCGTCTGCCCAGCAGGGGGCAGCGATGACAGCTGGGCGACAGTTTTCTCATAGCTGGGGAAGGTGCTGTTACGCGAAACATGTGGCCGTCCCCTGGCAGGTGTCCCGGGATTTAGATCTTTACCCCCTATCTACCATGTCTCGCTTACTATGCAGATATGGCGGTCCTCACCAGGTAGAACCTGGCCCACGAATTCGGAGTGGAATGCAATTAATGGAGGCTAATGCTGCTGGGGAAATAGCCGGAGGATACAGCAGTCTGCCTACCGCCTTCGTTAAGGAGAATCGCTGCTGTTCAAGGACACCTCCGTAGCCCTGCAGTGACTAAACTGGGCTCGGTGGAGGGAGGCTTACCCTTGGGCGGCTGCCAGGCTGGGTTGGCACTGAGCACTCCTGCACCCCCCCAGAGGGAGGTTAACACGCATCAGTCACCTTCAGGTCCCGGTTCTGCATACAACCAGCTCTCCCATGGTTTCTGTGGGGGAAGGAGTTGGGGTGGAGGGGGCACAGAAGAGCGGGTAAATTAATGGCTGGCTCTCAGTAGTATGACAGGGTGCCAGCTCTCCACGGTGACAAACTGCAGCTTCCTTCTTCATTAATAATCCGACTATATAATTAGAAATAATGCAGACTGTAAGTTCTAGATAGAGTTTTTTTGCTGAGCAAATAGAATGATTTAGCGTGAGACCATTTTAAGTACCCATTTAAGCTTTTAACTGCAGTGATCGAAATTCAGAACGTAGCGGGGAGGAATAAAATATTTTTAAAACAAACGTCTCTAGTTTTAGCACAATTGGACAATATCAGAAGCTGTATGCAAAGATCATACGGCATTATTACTGTGACTGACTAAATGTCACATAGCTAACTGTATCGCATCTTCCGCTTATTAGTTGTTGGATTCAAGTTTCGAGTTCTTATTACCCCGTGTATTCGGGGATTGGACAAAGAGCAGCTCAATACAGGACAAGGCAGCGCAATATACAGTAAGAATAAAAAGTCGTGATGATAAATAATTTATCATAAGTTGTGTAATATGAGGATGAGGTATAGGTTTGCGGTGTCGGTGTGATAAACACCAGAACTCAGTGTTAGCACTGCCAAGTCACACCAGTGAAAAGGGGAGGATGTTAAAAGAAAGCGAGTTCGCTCGGTTTCTCTTCAGTGTCGCGAAAGCTCCGTCGGTGTCCGCTGAGCTGAGTCAGTACATTCAGGGCTCCGTCACACTTCTCCCGGCAGGGCTGACAGCAGAGAGGGGAGCCAGAAGCGAGCCGAAATCTCCCTCCCATGTGGGTTTGCGCTGTAGGAAATCACAAGGTTACGCGTCAACATCATTCTCCACGCTTGCTTTCTGGATTCTCATATGAAAAAATGAACCTGGTTTAAAGTTTAGTTTAAACAAATATTTAGTACTTGGACGAACTGCCAAATTCCTCCGCTTAATTGTTAACGACGTCCACATTGCGGCCGTTAAATTCTGATTTATTTCGAGGATGTTAAAGAGGTGACGAAGGGCAATGTGGAAACCGGAAATTATGTTTTCAAGTGTTTGCATGTGTGTCTGTATGTTGGGATCTGGTTGCTTTAGCGCATAGTGAGAAACTTTAGGCTGTTCGATATAATGATTAAGTTGATTCATTTTGTTGGGATTATTGGCCTAGTCATGGAAGAAAAAATTACAGGGTAAACAAATGGATGTGCTCAAAAAAACAAGATAAGGCCTGGGACCAGCATGATTTGGGGGCACTTTATTTTTAATGACAAGCCCTTCTAAACCTTGCTGAGAACATTAGGCATCAGAAACGCAAAGTATTGTAGCACTGGCGTCCTAGCATGCCCCGCGTGCCGTTGTAAATAGCCCTTGTATTGTTATTGTTAATGGTTATATTTCCTTATTGTTGCGCGTGTGGTTACCTGTGTCTTATGTGTACCCTGTCCGATCCTCGTGTGTAATTAGCTTACGTAAATCTCCCACCCTGTATGTCTTCCAGTTGAGCATCTGACAACCTCGTGTTTCCTGTGTATAACTGGTTTGGTGCTCGCTGGGTGCAGGACTACCAATAAAGAGTGTGTTTTCCCTGGCGAGCAAGTGTCCGTCTCTTTCTCTGCTCCCGCGATGCCTTGGTCGGCCCAACGCTGCAGTATCGTGATAAAAGCAGCACCTCCCTGGGTCTGGATGAAATACCCAGAGGGTCATAAGAGACAAAGAAGCAGCACAAGATGTTGGGGAGTCAGGTCTCACTTGGCAGCCAAGGACGAAACGTCTGTTCTGAGACCTGTGATGATGCGCAGTCCCAATTAGGGGCTTTCTGCAGTATTAATGTCACATACTGAACCCATTACCTGTCTGACACCATATCTAGCAGACGTGAGATGCGTGACTCATCCACTGGGTTTAACACCAGCAGTTTTATCCAGCAGGAAAAGACTATGGGCCTTGATGAATCATGGATGATTGGGGTTAGAAAACAGCACCACTAATTAAACTGCAACATATGGTAGATTTGACATCATGAAATGCCTTCCAAACATGTCAATTTACACATTTGTGTTCACACCAAATAAGGTGTTCTGATAGAGAGAATGCTCCACCAATCACAGGCTCTGTAAGGCGTCCTATACAGCAGAGAGAGGGAGCGTGAACGTATTCTCAGCTCCCTCTTCCACCTGTTTGTAATTTGGCATTTTTGTATGACAGCTTGCAGAGAGACAGCCACATAAAAGAATTATAGAAAACAAAACAATTCACAGAAATGGAATGCAGTCATTTTTACAATAAAAACAACCTTGGGAAATCAGAAATATTCTGTCTGTGACTCTCACTAATGAACTTAAAGAATAATTATGTTAGCGTGAGGAAATAAAATGTTAAGCTATGGGCCACATTGCATCCGCAGATCCATCTCCTGGACACCCACCATTCAACAGAACGTAGCCTGGTCCGCTTGGATCTTCTTCATCACCATTTCTGTACCTGTCTTCTGTCTTCATGTTTGCTGTGACTCACAGGGTTATGATTGGAAGGTCATTAGTTTGAATCCCAGGGCCAGCAAAGTGATGCCTGAGCTAGGCCCTTAATCCTGACCTGACCCCATACTGTGACTTGCTCTTACTTGTATGTGAGTCTCATGTAACCTAGACTGGCAAAAAGACAATTTACATACAGGAATGAATAAAGTATCACAAAAACTTACTTCACCTTCTGTTCATTTAGGATAGCAGGGTGGCATGACCTTACCGTCAATATCCATCCAGGAAACACCTGCGTGTCGCAGTCTTGCAAGACATAAATTCATAACCAGACTCATAAGGTTGCTATGGTTCAAGACTCAGAAGGATCCCAATGTGTCTGTCTATCAGTAAATTGGTTCAGCTGTAATAAATAGGGAAAAAATGGTAAATTGGTTTGAAGGAAAATGCTAGCTATGCAAACAGAAATAGTATCTTTTCATCTTCTATCTTCGTTAAGTTTCATCAAGAAAAGCACAATATGCAATTTTGGGACAAAGTTTAACAGAAGAGGAAAATGGGAGGAAACAACATCGTACGTGGGACCTGGTTCCAGTTCTCCCAGAATACAGTGTGAAGAAGTTTGAATACTGCGGTGGGAGCCCAAGGCACTGGAGGGGGGGGGGGGGGGGTCAATCTGAATAGGGTCTGGCCTGCTCTTTACACTTCTCTGCCAACACCAATGCCTCTGGGCCATTGCAGTTAATAGTTATGGGCTTGAGTTTGACAGCTTGACAAACTCAAAAACAAAACCGAATTTCCTGGCAAGTCATAGGCTGTTCAAATTATATACTTTTTATTCCATCTCGAATTTTTCCACAAAAACATAGTATTTACTTTCTGTTTTCTCTTCTAAACAGGAATTACTTGGGGAGTCCTGCTATAACAGACAGGTACTGTATACTCCCCTGAAGTGAAAGTATGCCCAGAGGTAACGGCTACGCTGGGTGGCAGCACGGGGGGCGGTCCTCACCCACAATCCTCTACAAAGCTGGCTGACGGGGTTCTCCAGTGTCTCTGTCTCTGAAGGACCAAGAGCCGTGTGTAGCAGTCCAGGGGGTTACAGAATGCGATACCCCAAAACCCCCAACAGCAGCTACAACCCTATTCCAGGTCACATTTTTTCATTAGGGTGAAGCAGAATGTTGTAACAAGACCAATTACTGATGCACTTGTGTGCAGAAAACCAGGGAAAATATGCCTAAAGAGTATGCGTATTGGCGTAGGATGGATGACATGCGTCGTGACTGGAACACCATGCCGTCATACTGTAGATATATGTGTGGAGTTTTGCTTAGGTAAGCTTTTTTGTTTTGGAGCTTGCTAAGTAACTCCAGTTACTTCCCACAGTCCACAGACAAGAAGTCCAGGAAACTGGCACATCTAAATTGACTCAAGAGCGCAGTTGTATATTTGGGTCTGAGGCTCGGTTGACATTACCTTACACCCCAATAGGCTTCGGGTCACTGCGACTGAATCAGCAGTTTTTTTAAAAAGCATGAGTAGATACAAATTCACAGAATATTCAAGTTTTACATGCAGTTTCTTGAACACAGTGGTAATTCTGGAAAATAATTTGATTGATCAGGTCAGGTCGGGGAGCATGGCCTGATGGAGCGCGTTGCCGTACCCACCACACAGTGAAACTCCTCGAGATACCAGCCGGCTACCCCCCGGGCAGATACAAGGTCCAGTCCCACCCTCCGGAGATGGCCATCCATCCGCCGCAGCCAGGTGTTACGAGGGCGTCCCCTCGGCCTGGTCCAGCCGCTCAGGATCCCCAGCAATGAGTTTCCTGCGAGCCGGATCACCCTCAGGCAATCGCGCCACATGGCCGTAACGCCGTAACTGACGCTCCCTCACAATGCGGGTAATGTGCCTCATTCTGGACTCCTCTAGCAACTGCTCATTTGACACAAAGTCAAACCAGCGATAGCCAAGGATTTTCCAAAGAGACACAGTATCAAAGGAGTCCAGTCTTCGTCTCAGCTCACTGGATAGTGTCCATGTCTCACAGCCATACAGCAAGACAGGGAACAACAGGACTCTAAATACTTGGACTTTCGTCCTTGATTGATCCATCAAACAGATATATGAAATACACAATCATACTGCCTTGCTTGTACCAGTACAGGTTTACGTAGACCCTGGCAACAATGTTAGCTCTGGGAAGGAGCCCACAGGAGCAGCCGTCATTGGTTAGCGTGCTGCCATGTCATACTCTACCTGCTAACCTGATTGGTTGCTTTTCACAGCACAGTCATGTGGCATCTCTGCAGGAATGCTTGCATCAAGGCGTTTTTTGTTTTTTTCGAAAGTCCACGAAAGGACTGCAGGCACTGCCCGGCTGAGAATCCCCGGTCAGCATGACACATTCCTCCCATGGCAGAATGATGCCAATTATTCAGCATCGCCCTGGAGACCCAGCCACAGCTGATGGGCGACTTAGGTCAGACTGTCTGCTACCCACACAGAAGTGCAGCATCTCACCCAGACAAAGTGTGACATGATAACAGCAGCACAGCCTTTTTTCCTTCTTGTATATCCCTCTATCTCCCAACCAATTATTGTGTTCAGGGG